AGTTGCTCAGTTTTGAGGAATAAATCAGTGGACCTTTGTGTTATTCCTTTTTCATTCCACGTATCCCTTCTCTTGGCTTTGTGTTTTTTTCTGTGTAAATGGAAAACAGAAATTTCTGATGTACTGGGACTAGGGAAGCACATAGGCTGGGAGATTGCTTACTCTTCATGTCTTTCAGGCAGCAGAATGTGCATAAGCCTTCTGTCACCAACCAATCTTTTAGATCCATCTGCAGACATTTTTTTCTGAACTGACACGTACTGATTGTTGTTGTAGCATTTATTTGGGAATTAAATTAGGTAAGGTTTACTTTACTACAGAGGCATGGAGGAAAACATGGGGGTTTTGTCAGTGCTAGAGAAAAGAAGCTGCTGCTTGTAGAGGATCTCCTGATAACTGGTTTGACAGATCATTACCGATTGCAGCAGCTGAAGAGAGGAGAGGTAGGATGCTTCTTCAGTGGTGGCAGTACCGAGTGCAACTATTTTATATTCTATTAAGTAAGGATTTAATCTCTGACAGAGAAAAGCATCCTGTTAGTTTGATTTGTTTTGATTGGCAGTGAATTCCAAACTTCTAAAGATTTAGATTAATGGATTCTTTTATCTCTATTTTACTTGCGGAGGAAAAGAGTATTGAGGATTTCTTATAGAGATATGCTTACTTGCCCATAAGTAACAGGAGTAATTTAGAGACAGGGACAACTGAGGATTCCACTCTTCATATTGCAGTGCATTTGCTTCAACTTGAATTTATCCTTTAAAATATTACATCAGCTTATGTTACACTGACAGTGACAAATTCCTGAGGCAAAAGAATACATAATGTTTTAAGTCAACTTCCAAAACCAGGGCACGGTGAGCGTAAACATAAATGTTAGCTTTTGCATAGTTCTTTTTGTTGGCAGATTTACCACAGTCTTAGCCATGTCCCTTAACAAAAGGGTTCAAGCAGTAGTATAGGGTCAGATCCTAGGCTTATGTCTCCTTGTAGGCACTTCCCTAGACTCAATCTTGATGCAGCTGGGAAGAATCTTGGTGTTGCTTGTTTACATGATTGAATATTATAGGCTTTGATTTTAATCGTCAGTATTACTCAAAATATTCTAATATTGTCTGCAAATGATGCTCAAATTGCCAGGTGGAAGTTAGGATATCTCTAGAGGTCATGGCTGGCTACTGTTTGTTTATCAAAATAAGCACTAACTATATTACTTACTGAGTGCCTAATGACTTCATATCAGAAGAATAATCTTTTATTGCCATAATTTACCCTAGTACTCAATGGTATGCATCTCTTTGGCTGGATTGTTGCAAAACACCTTTACTAGTATACACAGTATAAATTAAAGTGTTGGAGTTTATACTTTTTTTTTTTTAATCCCATTATTCTGTTTGCTTTCCATTGGCTGCTGAGCTACTGATTTCTATCAAACTTTGAAAACTTAATACTTCTATGAATCAAAATAAAATAGGCTATGTAGTTGGCATGTGCCATGTGCCATGTTCTTTGGTATGACTTCTAAAAATGACTAAATAGGACTTCTTTTGGAATGACCAAATAAATGAGAGAAGTTGAGAGTAGGGTAGATGGATATCCTCATGCCTTTGATGATATTTTTTGCACATCAAATGCTGCAAGTCTTCACAATGGCTACTATTGCATGTATGCAGCTGTGATAGAAAAGATTGATATACCTATGCATAGTCTCATTCATGTAGGATTACAGCAGAAATCTGAAATTGTCATTGGAATCACAAATGTAATTTCTCCTTTGTGTTCCTTTTCACCCATTATGTCCTTGTTTGCTTGTTAAGCTGAGTAAACAAGAAGTTGAGTATTGTCTGGCTTTATGTGAAAACCACCAGGCCTGCCTAACTTCAGTTTAAAACAATAAAGCAGATTAAGCTCACTCAACACTTGATTCTGTTCTCTCAAGAAGCTCATGAATTTTTTTAAGCACTGATCTGTCATTTCTGCATTATACTATGAAAATCCTAAATGCATATAATACTTACATATCCCTTCTACTTCTAGTTAAGCTTATGTAAGAAAAGAGCACGCAATATTCTCTAAAATGTTCACAACATTCTTGGTGGATTATTTTGAATGCACAAGCTTTGCCTTTTCAGTTTTCAATTTTCACATGGTAATGTAATTAGGGTGTCTTGCAGATGCTTTAGTACAATTGTACTTCCATTTGTACCCTTGGTATGTTTTTGGTGTTAAACATTTATTTGCTAAACATTTCATGAATAATGAAATGCTGATCTTTTTGGTTCAATACTGGTCATTGTAATAGAAGAAAAAAACAAGGGTTGAGAAAATTGATGGAAAACTTGTGGACTTGATTATATATTCCTCTTCAGATAGATTTTGCTTACTCAGAGTTTCTATACAAATGCTATGAACCTCAGTGTTACTATTGACTATCTCCCCTGGCTTCTTGCTAGGCACCAAACCTCAGTACAAGAAGACTTGTGCTTCCTTGTCTGAAAGCTCTTCTGTATGTTCCAGGGGGCTATAGAGGCCCACCACAGCCACAAAATAAAAACAAAATTCCTATTCTTTTCATTGTGATTTTTTTTTTTTTTGAGATGTGATTAACCAAAGAACTTTAATTCAAAATGCAGAAAAAAGATTGCTAATATTTATAGTATGCACATAGATGTAAATGAGAAGAGATCGGAAATGATATTATTATTTTTTTTTCATATACATATAGTAGGTTTTACCTGTGCTAGGTAGTCATTTACAAAATATTGTTGTTTCTATTTCTAACTTCTGGTGAAGTTTTTAAATATTTAAGAAGTAGCTTACAAATTAGGAAAAGAGATAGAAAAAGAAAAATGGGAATTAAACAAAACAAACACAGAAGCATCAAATTGTCTCAGAAGGGGCATTTAAGAATTCATGGGCTTGTGTATAAAATTAGATTCTGGGTCAGTACAAGTCAAGAGAATTTAGTCTCAGTAAAATCATAGATGCAACCAAAATGACAAGACTTGGAGTAAACCACTTGTAACCCGTGTCGTCATATTTTGTTGCCTTGGTGTAAAGGCCAAAAAGGCCTGTTTTGTATAACAATAGAGAGCAAAGGCCTTTTAGGCATAGAGCACCATTATGAAAGAGCTGCATGCAAAATGTTGAAGTTGATTTTTATGAAAGTAATTGTGATGATCTCGACCTTTGCTTTAACAACACTTTTTTCTTAATGCAATAAAGCAATGTCTGTAAACTAGAAAGGAACGGGCTAATATGCAGAAAGTGATATCCTTTTAAAAAGACTTTGAATGACTTCCAGATGCCGCTGTCAATACAATTTTGAATCAAAATGACCCTCTAGTTAACGGTAGTAAATTTTCACAGAAAGGTGCCCTGAAGCAAGTGGGTATTTCAGCCAGTAAGTCTGATGTTTTGATCTTTCTATATCAGTGCTCCACTATTGGCACAGGCATTCATCTCTGAGGAACTATGCTCCTTTGCTGAAAATATTAAAAGCTTCTGAAGTAGGAATAGTAATGTGTTGCAGTATGGATGATGAACTATGCTGGCATCTTCTTGGTAGGCAGGGGAAAATGAGGATGAGGCCCAGTAGAGCACCTTGGAGCATGAACATGCACAGTTAACTTCATCTGTACAGGACCCAGGGGAGACAATATGTGGATGAGGCAGGGCATGCATCTTCCTTTACAAATGCACTGCATCTCTGTGCTGCATGGGGCCGGGCTAGGAGGTGTTCAGGAGCACTGAGCCCACTGCCTCTGCTGGGGCATGAGCAAGAAGAAAGTCACTCAGGACAATCCTCAATGCTGATGCAGGTTTTTGAGCACTTCAGATAAAATCTGAGTGCCCTGGAAAAGTCACAGTGCTTCATGGAGCTCAGAAGGGCCCCTGTGCTGGACTTCGAGCATTGCAATTCTCTTCTACGGTATTTCACCAAGGATCATTGTACCTGATGCTGATTGCAATGTGGGTTATTAATAACAAAAGTTTTCAAAATCTATTGCATTTCCTATGCTTCTGACTGTTTGAACAACGGGTATAGATTGGCCAAGTTGCTCAATCAATTTGTGAGCTAATTATTCTCCCCACTTTCTGACTGGTTTAAAAATCTTCTTTTCTGTTTAAATGTTCTTTAAGTGTCTATTGATCTTTGTGTGGTTAAAAATAACAAAACCAAGTCGTTTGTAGTCAGATTCCAGTTGACTTCTACCTTTGGGGTCTGACTTCATTTTGTTTACAACTGTGATAAGTGTTGTGTAGATGGAGAAGATGACTTAGTTTTAGCCCTCAAGAAACAGCAGAGACAAAAACATGCAAGCACTTAAGTTTCTGAGGCATGAAGTGCAAGAAAATAAAGTGGGTGTGCTACTTCCACGTGTGTTTGATTGTTGGATTAAAGATAAAAATGTATACTTCTGTGTGGTGCTGGCAAAAAGGGGTTTTTAGGAGTGATTAGGATTACTCGAACGGTTCTCCAGTGTGCTGCTGTGTCTGCACTTGAGATGTGGCAGGGCAACGTTCTTGGTCTGAAGGGGATTTGGAAGTTACTTTAAAGAGAGTTGTTTTATACCTACTACTGTTACTCGTAACAGCTATGAATAATTGAATGTCAGAGGAAGATGCTTTTTCTCTCTCTTCTCCCTCCCCATTTTGTTTGCTTTCTGCATTTGACAGCAGTTTCTCTCTACTCTGCTGCAATGTTTTCCCTGTATCATCAGACAGGCGGTTGTTTATGTGGATATTTGCATAGCATCAAGAGAAAAAAAAATTACTTTAAAATAAGGAAATAAAAAAATTTATTACCCAAGAAAATCCAGCAAAGGGGAGAAGCAAAGTCTGAGACCAGTACTGTAAATGTTGCTGTGTTCGGTTTATTGATCTGTTGAAAAGAAACCAAACAAAATGAAAGTTGACAGTGTCAGTTCTGTGAGCCAGTGAAAATGATTTGCTAATGCTGTATGATCACTGCTAATAACTGTTTCACTCTCTTTTAGGATCAGAGTCACACCCAAGTTTCGCAGTACCGCCAAGACCACTCTTTGATTATGAGATCCATTGTCCACATGACGGATGCTGCTCACTCGGGAATTATGACTCCCTCTCAGCTCACCACCATTAACCAGTCCCAGCTAAGTGCACAGCTGGGGCTAAATCTGGGAGGCACCAACATGCCACACACTTCTCCCTCCCCTCCTGCCAGTAAATCAGCCACTCCTTCCCCCTCCAGCTCGATAAATGAAGAAGATGCAGATGAATCAAATAGAGTAAGTTAATCCATGCATTGCAGTGAGTAAGCTTTACATGGCTATATAGTGTGTTTTCATTAATGTGGCAGTACTGTCTCAGCTGCCAAGTGATCATACAAAATATGTATGCTTTAACACACGGTCAGCTATGTCATTTATTTACCGTTTAGCTTCTGATTTAGGAGGCTTTCATGATACCTCCATAATAGATGCTAAAATATACATATCCATTCATATATTTTCAGTTGAATACATTCATGGTTCATTTTAGGTTTTATAGATCTGGTGAATCTCTTTACTCCTCAACTTTGGGAATTTTTTCATTTTGATATTCTCTGGAGTCATTTAAAATACAGATGCATTTAGACAAAAATAAAATAAACTTTCTTCTGTCTGAAAGCTTACTTAATTTACAGTTTGCTTTAAATTAACCTGTTACAAAAGGAAAATGTTATAGCACTACACATACAGTGCTAATTCAGACTGCTTGATGAAAGATTTTCTCATTAGCTTAATGGAAATTGTATATATGGAAAGACGATTCCATTCAGCATTCTTAAAATATCAAAGTTAAACAATGACAATAGAAATGTAGTTAGAGCCACTCAACGTGGCAGCCCTTGTTGCCACAATCTGTGTGTAGTCCAGAGGAAGGTATGGGGCATGAGGAGTATATGAGGATTGGAGATACTGGCAGTCCTTGAAGTGCTGATCTAAAGGTTTCCCCTTTAAGGTGGTAGGAGATGTAGGTGTAGGATGCTGCTGTGTGGGCACCTGACCCCACGTGAGAAGCCTTGGAAGAGGGTGTTGGGCACAGGGTGGTCCATTGTGCTTGAATAGATACTGCAGAACTGCTGCTGCCCTGACCCATGTCTAAGCTGGCAGCCTAAGTCTGGGAATCAGGGAATGCCTCCAAGCTCTTCTCTTTTGAGTCTCTACTGCCGAAATTGCGTTTTAATGGAGAAACATAGATCACCTGCTCAAAGTACACTATAGATTGAATACATGTATACGTAAATATTAAATTGAAATTTGTTATGGTGCAGATTTTGAGGTCAGGCTTCTAGGAATGATTCTGAGCCATGCTTACAGTGAGTGGTAATAATTTTGGTATTTAGTTCCAGTGGTTCTGATAAGAATGACTGAGAATAAGTGCTATTTGGTGGGACAAAGACCCACATAACAGGAGTATCCAAAATGTTGCCTACATAGAAATTTTTATCCATTTATTAATAAGCCAGACTGACAATAATTATTCAGAATTCCTCTGACTTCCATTTCATGTGTATGTGGACTGTTCCTGTTACTACTGTTTCTTAGGCTACTGGAGAAAAAAGAGCTGCCCCAGATTCTGGCAAGAAGCCGAAAACTCCAAAGAAGAAGAAAAAGAAAGATCCCAATGAGCCACAAAAGCCAGTGTCAGCATATGCCCTTTTCTTCAGGGATACACAAGCTGCAATTAAAGGGCAGAACCCAAATGCTACGTTTGGAGAGGTTTCAAAAATAGTGGCATCTATGTGGGACAGTTTAGGAGAAGAACAAAAACAGGTAAAAAATGGATGGAGGGTTATCTCACTAGAAGTAAAATAGTTATTGCTTGTAAAAAATCCTCCTATCTCGGTGCTGAGCACACTGCTTGCTGATGTAGACCTCTTGCTCTGCAGAGCTCCATTGATTTTTGAACTTGCTGAAAATCTGGCATCTAAAAAGCATTTTGTTATAGGAGTCAGTAGATCGTATTCAGTAACTGTCTTTAAATTTTAAAGGGCACTTTGTAAAAAGCTCAAGTGATACTGTCCTGGAGTCTTGCTTGAGACCACCTTTTGATGATTCTCATTTCAAAGCTCTTATTTCCTATTAATCGGAAGTTAGAATAGAAAAGGGGAAGGTACAACACATTTACCATTTCCTTTGATCTGCCTTATGAATTTGTTACAAAGCGTGTTGATTTTAAACCTTTGAAGCCAATCCTCTGTGCCTCATTACAATGTTGTGTGTGAAATGTTATCTCCAACTCAAAATTGGTACAGTTTTGATGATGATGAGTTTTGTTCTTCCTTGAGGGTTATTCTTCTTGCTATACACATGTAACTCTTACGCATAGATAGGAAAAAAAATCCTCTGGGGCTCTTTGCCTGTTGATGCACCGTGCAGCTCCCAGTCACACTTAGCAGTCTGACAGATGATGATATCTCACAGACGATGATCATGATTGAAGGATGATCTTTATATGTAGTGCTGATTAGAAATACAGATTGATTCACTTTTTGTTTAACTGTTCTACTGAAGCTCTGTGGGATTCTCTAATACTGACTTTGGGGAAAGTGAATTGTCAAAACTCTGTGAACCACATTTTCCTTTTTTTTTTTTTTTTTTTTTTGGCTGCTTTGTACTACTTCAGATACTTTTCAGCACGTGAAATACTCAGTGTCAGTAAAATATCATTTTCTAGGAAGATGCAGTGTGCATAGCTGGTCTTGTCAAACAGTTGGCTACTCTAGCAGTTTTTTTCCTATGTGATAAATGGACTTACGTTGTGGTGACATTCCAGCAAGTGGACCTGAAAGTCTGTGGCCACCTGCAGGAATATTTAAAACTTCCAGGGAAGAAAAAGCCCTCATGAAGTAAAAGTGTTTTCGGATTGTTGATCTGAGCTTTTGATTTTGTTGCAAGGGATTCTGAGAGCATTCTGGCAAAAACTTCTTAATAATTGAAGTTGGTGAAATTGTGGTCTCTTTTAATAGGTATATAAAAGAAAAACAGAAGCTGCCAAAAAAGAATACCTAAAGGCACTTGCAGCCTATAGAGCAAGCCTTGTTTCCAAGGTAAGCCTGATAATGCTTTCTGCATAATGCAAGTTAGTTTTTGGCAATGTTTTCCTTAATAATGGGGGTAGGAGTGCGGAGTAATGCAAAACAAAAGTAGAATGCTAAGATTTCTGTAATGCAATTCTAAAAGATGTGCTGCTGCTTGAACCCTGTGTGGCCTCTGCAAAGAAATTTCATCTCTTTAATGGCACTGTAATGATTACCAAACAAGAACTTTGTAAGTGCGTACATCTTCCATTATCCTGGGAAGCAAAATAATGCACTTCACTACAGAAGTAAAATTCAGTCATGAAAAATATGCCGACCTTTTGACATTAACATTTACAAGCTATTTGCAGAATTGTTTTTTGTTTTTTTGCTGTTGGGTTTTTGTTTTTTTTCCCTTTTCCTCAAGTGATTCTTCCCAAAAGACAGACTTGTTTTGCATGGGCTTGAAGAGCTGTTATTGTGTGGCAAAGCTTAAGTATTTCTTGCAGGTGAGGGGGAAAAAATTTGTGTGGTGGCTCTGAATTTGGAGAATACTTCAAATGGACTGGCTGGCAGTGAGTCATGTTGAGTATCAGAGCAGATCCCTACTTAGTATGAAACGCATGTGAAGAAAATAAAGCTTTGGTCTCAGATTTGAGAATTCACCTTTTTAACTGATAGCGTGAGGCTGATTGTATATCTGCTGTCTCTGGACACTACAAATGGAAACAGGATTCTAATACATGTGTGAAAATCAAGGCAGTCATTTCTCTAATAACATTTCTTAAAGACCAAATACAAAAATGCCCTTGATCACAGGAAAGCAACAGCAACTGATGATATCTAGTTCCTGAGAATGCTTATTTAAATGTACCACTACAGAGCATTAGGAAGTAGCACAGAAAGGTGCTGCATATTTTAATTAGTGCTTAGAAATACAACAGAAATTAGACACATGCATTCTTGAAATTCTTGAAAGAAGATTTCCTTGTGTTATGAAACCGTGTTTTTCTGTTGTCTCTAGGACTTAGATAATATTCTCAGTCTTTAATATCATCATGCTAAGTTCAATGGCAGCAGCAATTCTAAATTGTTGCTTTGAGGGAATGTGTCTTGTCAGTCCTAAATTCCCTTTTCAAAAACAACAGAGATCATGTTTTCTGCCCTAATCAGTGGGACTTGTGCTGCTGAGTGACTTCTGAGAAGACTGTGAGTGGAAATTACACTCCATGTCCAGAATTCATCTCCACCAACCTTAAGATATCTTTGCTGTTGCTTTTCTGTCAAAGGTTGTTGTTGAGAGTAGATACAGAATAAGCACTTCTGAGGCAAGATTTGATGCATTCTAAGGTAAATGTCTAAAAAATATCTATTTATTGTATGGGATGAGAATTTTTCTCTCCATCACCTTAACAGAATTCTAGGCAACTATATTACATGTCTTATACAATGCAGATGTGTAAAACTATGCAAGATGATCCTACTTCTGATGCTTAATCATATCTAATTTAAACATACTCAGTATATTCAAACATACCTGATAAAACTATGTCTTCAAAGGCACCAGAAAGCCTCAGAATGAAGTTTTCCTGCAGGTATCTCTCATCAGAAAGCTCCTTGACAGTGGAATTAGGCAGGTTGTTCTAAGCAGGGAACCTGCTGATGTAGCCCTGCTGCTTCCAGTGATTCTGGGCTTCTGTCTTCACAATGCTCCCTTAGACTTCTTTCTGCTGAGAATATTTTGGACTTAATGCCTTAGAAGTGAAGAACTACAGTGAGCTAATATAAAAAGTTGTTTGATAAGTTTTGGTGCTTGTACAATACCTCTATGCCATCAGAAGTGATGTAGTGGGATATGCTTCTCCTCAGAACAGCGTTGGTTTTTTGTTTTGTTTTGTTTTGTTTTTTAACACATAAATAGAGACTGTTTTAGCTCTTTCAGCCAGGCGAAGTACTACAGATTTCTGATGTTGAACCAGGGCACAAGTTGATTTGTTGTCTAAGAATTGGAATCTAAGTAGGAGCTTGGAGGTACCTTGTACAGAGAGAGACAGAGGTGTAATGCAATGGACCAGCAACCTTTCTCAGACTGCTGATTGATGTTTCCCCATGGAAAACAGAGGATGAAAAAGTCTCTCAGAGTATTTGTGACTTTTCTTTCTATTTAAACAGTAACAAAGTTTTTTTTTATTAAGAACACAAGGTAACTTCAATTGATCAGGTCAAACTGAGCCAAGGTTCATAACATTTCTAAATATATATCAAACAGCTAGATTTAGGTACTGAGAGAGGATAAATAAGAACTGAGATAGTAAAAGTTCAGATTGGATGAAGAAAACAGGCAACTCAAGCGAGATTTTGATCTGCATTTCCTAAATAGACTATTATAATAATAGGACAAATTCTCTAGGGCAGACTTTCCACTGAGCAGCTCATGAGATTTGAGGGGGAAGGAACAGGTTTGGTGATTTTTTTAAGCTCAATATAGGATGATGTCTGCTTTTAGCAATACCTGTTCTTCAATTTCTTTTCCAAACATAGGCTGCTGCAGAGTCTGCTGAGGCCCAGACAATTCGTTCTGTGCAGCAAACATTGGCATCCACAAATTTGTCTTCTTCCCTTATTCTGAATACTTCTCTCTCTCAACATGCCACAGTATCGGCATCTCCTCAAACTCTTCAACAGTCCATTCCCAGAGCAATTGCTCCCAAACCTCTGACCATGAGACTGCCAATGAATCAGATTGTAGCTTCTGTTACCATTGCATCAAACATGCCGACAAACATTGCAGCTCCATTGATAAGTTCTATGGGAACAAACATGGTGGCAACACCGTCTTCATCTCAAGTAAGTCCCTCCATGCAAAGCCAGCAGCACCAGATACAGCAGCTGCAGCAGCAACAGATGCAGCAGATGCAACAACAGCAGCTACATCAGCATCAAATGCATCAGCAGATACAACAACAAATGCAACAACAGCATTTTCAGCACCACATGCAACAACATTTGCAGCAGCAGCAGCAGCAGCATCTTCAGCAGCAAATTAACCAACAGCAAATGCAACAGCAGCTTCAGCACATACAGCTTCAGCAGATGCAGCAGCAGCAGATGCAGCATATGCAACACCAGTCACAGCCTTCTCCTCAGCAGCACTCGCCAGTAGCCTCTCAGATCACTTCTCCCATCCCTGCCATTGGGAGCCCTCAGCCAGCACCTCAGCAGCACCAGTCACAAATACAATCTCAGACACAGACTCAAGTATTATCACAGGTCAGTATTTTCTGAAGATAAATGATCTCACAGCATCGCTTTGTGTTGATGGAGGGGGTAGGGGTAAACCATATTTGGCTGAAAACTGTAAATTGTTGATGGTAGTTATGCAGGGATGCATAACAGATCAAATGATCCTCTAAAGTGTCTATTAGATAGGCAATAAAGAACTACAATGTAGCTGTGTATCATCTTTTAGCTGACTATAAATCATTTTGTTTAAAAAAAAAAAAAAAAGCTGTGCTCTCTTTCATGTGATGCCTTTTTAATTTATTTAAGCTTTACCTACAATATGTGAATCAAATGGCCTAATAAATACCTGAACCTTATGACTGCAACATGGCCTTTCAGAGTTACAGATTTCTCTAGAAGTGAATAATGCACTTCAAGGCAGTATGAACTCATGAAGCCCTTAAAGCACAGTTGTAACTACCTGTAAAATGATGATTGGATTTCATACAGTCATACTTTTATGACATGAGTTCGTTGATGGCATTTTTTCTCATGAAAAAAAAAATAGAGTATGTCACAGATTTTTGCCAAAGCTCTTAAATTTCTGTCCTAAATATCTTCAGAAAAGCAAAAGCAAGTAACTGAACTTCAATGTTTGATCCATCCTTTCACTTCATTCCTCCCGATAAACTTACCATACTTTGTAACAAAATATATATTGACAGTTACCCTATTACATTAATTCCAATTACAGAACAAATGTGAATATTATATTCTGTGTGGAAGTGATGAGTTTCAGATTTAATACACTGTATTTTTAAAAGGGAAATGCACTTAACTAAGGCTGTTATTACAAAAAGCTAAGATGAAAAATGCAAGAGTTTTTAATACGCTGTAAAACCAGTAGAATATTTAAAAGAAACTCCACGACCGAATAATCAATGTAAATATTTTCTTTAAAAGTTGTAACTTTTCATATCATGTGTTGTAAAGTTTTCATAAATGAGGCTTTAATGTAAACACTGGTAACATGAATTATTAATTGCTACATTGCTTATTGTGTTTTTATGCTGTTTTATACTTTTTTATGAGTTACGATAGCAGCAATTAAGTTGTTTGTATTTTGCTTATCTAAAATAAATGCTTTTATCTTGCTATAGAATAAACACATTTCAGTAAAACCGATGGGCCACAAGTCTTTGATAAGAAAAATAACCAAGAGAAATGTTTCCTTGCAGAACTGCTTTCTCTGGCACTTTATTCCACTTTCTGGATTTGAGTGTCTCAGCCATGCTGTGTAAATAGGTACTGGTCTGTGCAGCCAGCTCTGGTGTCTGTAAGTCCATGGCTGGAGGGGGGCATGCAGCTCCTCTGAGCAGGCTGTGGCTTTGAGGTGCGAGAGCAGGTGGTGCAGCGATGATGGTGCAGAGCGCTCATCCACCCCATGTTACGTCCATCGGTGGGAACGGGGTAAGGAGCCTGTCTTAGCCACTCAGGGATGCAAATAAGTACAGTTTGGGGTTTTCCTCGTGTCCTTGTGTTTTTGCTGTAAGCCCAACTGGTGTCCTGAGCCCATGAGCCCCTGGCTTGTCCCAGACTCTGGCTGGTGCTGAATGGTGCAAGCAGGGAGCAGTGGGTGTAGAGGAAGCTGTTTCACTGGAAATATTTGGAAACATTTGCATCCAACATGTTGGCAAGATATTAATGCTCTTTCTACATCTTTGCTCTTGATGGAGGAGAAAAACCCTTCCTTTCTTCTTTTCCATCCCTGCCTGCTATTGCTGTGTGCTGGGTGCAGCCTGACCACTATCCCCAGTTGTCTTGCATGATTAATTACAGCATCTGTCCTGTCAGGAGCTATAATGAAGAGGTCTTGATAAAAATTGCAAATTACCACTGGCAACAATCTTAAACTGCTTATGATAAAATGAAAATTAAAAACAGCAAGTGTCAAACCCGAGCAGAATCCTAATCCTGTCTCAGGCCGTGTCCATGGTTACCGACCAGGCCCCAAAACAAAAATAATGGGATATAGATCCCCCAAAAGTTGCAGCCAGACTTGAGGGAAAAGGTACTGTGCTGTGCGAGTTTATTAATAATGAATTCAGCTTTCAATATTTCACAGTCCTCAGGTACTCCGTTTATTATCTACAAATATTGAACAGCAAGAGATTCCAATTAGAAATTTATAGATTTCTTGGAGCAGAAAAAATCATGTATAAATTGAAGCATTTTGTAATAGGTGTTAGTTGACGGCTACCCATGCTCGTAATAGCCTTCGTGTGATATCTAATCGTGTCTGGGAGGGAGGGGGCTTATTTCAGGCACAAGAAAGCCTGTGTGCATTGGAAATGGCACAGCAGAGGCTGGTTGTGAAAGATGGTTTTGTGTCAGTTTTAACCAGTGTTACATAACAAAGAGGACCATTTTATAGTCTTTTTGAAACCTTTAGACAACTGTCTTCAGAAATAATTGCCAAACTGCATGTGACAGTAATTGTGTATTAGTTCTGTAATTGTCATTTTGAAGACCTATGAAGTATCGTTGGGAAAAATGTCACTAGTGATAAGAGTTAATTACAACTGAAGTCTGTTTTCAACTATTTGTGGTAAGAAGCAGGTGTTATTATACTCATTAAATGATTTCATAAATCCTGGGTTTTATCACATTTGATTAAGAGCTGCTGAACTACTGATGGTCAATTCCAGGGGAAAAAAAAAAAAAAAAGTTTTAATTGCCACAGCTAAAAGAATCAATCATCAAGCAGGACTGAAGACTTTAAATATCAAAATTTCAATCATGGAAAACTGGAGCATCCTCCTGCTTGCTACAAAATTATATTTTCCATTACCCGCAATAGCATATTGCAGAACATCTTGTGTTTCAAACTGTGCAAGTTGGAGTTCATATTCTCTACGTCTAAGTGAATAACTTCGCTGTCGTAGGTCACAAATAAAACTTAATTTAAATCACTTACTATGAAATTTATACAGGAAAAAATGCCTTAGCCATGATTTCAGTGTCATACATGTTTTAAAGACTGTTTTCTTCATATCGTTTACAAGTACTTAACTGCTCCCTTCTTTTCCCAAGGTTTCAGATGCTTTATCACCCCAGTTAACCACATTCTACTTTCACATTAACCCAGGTTGACACATGATGAAAGAACATAAGGAGGTTTAATTTTTAGCTGACACAGGGTCATTGGTTTCTAACTTGAAGAACAAAGGCTTTAAATACCTCTATGCAACATAATCTCAATTTTATTTTATCACCTGACCATTGTGGTTTGCGGGACAGATGGATTAAATATCTCAAGTTTAACCAGTAGTCTTGCACTGTCTCTTTTCAATGGGGATTGGACTTTTGAATGGCTCCTTTTCCATTTCTTACTTCATGGAGTATTTTTCAGCACTGGACTTCATTCTAACCTTTCCCTCCCCCCTTTGTTTGGCTTTTGTTTTGCAACAGCTGTTATTATCGTTTTTGGTCAGCTGTGATTGCTGGAGGCAAAATAGGACCAGATGGTGTTTTGCTATGCATGAATGGAGAGTTAGAGGAGTTTAGATTGAATAGGCCAAGTTTGAATGGTGTCTATGCACCACCTGCCCTCTTCAGCAGCAGCACACACATCATAGGAGCATGATCTGTCTCAGACCTACTAGAATTGGATGGGAATGGAGAGAGCCTTGTTGGATTTTCTCCATATTTATTGATCTTCCATGCACTAACAGCATAATGCAGTACACAGTCAATTTGAGTTAATTGGATATGACACAGCATGTACATGTAATCTATCACTGTAGTCTCTTGGTACGCTTTAGGTTTTGCTGCCACAGAACATGCAGTATTAGCCTGCATTAGTAGGCTAAGTGGATGAAGGTAAAACGGGATCGTCGTGCAGCTTGATTTAACAAAACGGCCTGGAGTTCTAAAGCCATGCCCTTAAAACTGCCAGCGATAGAGTGAAATACAAACGTTTCTGATTTGATAGGGTGGACTGGGTATTTTGGCACAGAAAAAGCAAACAGCAAACAAAACACCTCATTCCCATACTTTTCTCAGAGGTTTGCCTGTGAAATGCGAGTGAGCAGTTCCCTAAGAAGTTGAGCCTCATTAGAGATGAGTCAGTGCAGCTCCAAAAGGACTGCGTGTGTGTGCAGGAATCTATTCCAGAGCAGGAGGGATATTAGATTAAGCAAATTCTGATTACCAGCCCTAAATACAGACATTAAAATGTGGCATTCCGATTTGTTTTGGAGCAGCAAAGGGCTTCCTTAGTGCCCAAAATCGGCCATCAAAGTGGAGCTGAAATGCTGCAGAAATTTAGGGTGTGTTTTATCCTCCATGAAGGCTGACTGAAAGGCGTCCAGTGTGCAAGAGCTGTAGCTGAATGCTAGGGAATAAAATACATATGTGCTTGTACAAATAACTCGCTGGAACTGTTACAGCCATTGGGTGTTCAGGCCGACCTCTGCCCACATTGGCAGGAGCTGCTTGCGTGCTGCCTTTGTCTGTGGTGTCAGGTAGCCAAGTGAGCTACTTTATTATGAAAATTGCATTCAGCTGAAAAAATGCTAAATATTTTCAAGTGCCTGTGGGAAAAGCTAGGTTTGTATTAAAGGATTTGGTTCTTAAAGTCACCAAGAAGCTAATGCTTCTCAGGTGCATCTGAGGGAGAGTATTTTCAATTATAATACTAAAATCTTTCAGAAGAGAATGTGTGGCTTTGAATGAGCTGTTCTGACACTTCAATAGGCTACGCTAGAGATTTATAATGTGCTGTTTACCTCTGCTAAAAAGTAGAGGTAGCATTTTAAATCTCATTTTTGTCCGAGTTCTCTCAGCATTAACATCTTCCACTGCTACACAAACTGAAGTAGTGCAGAGTTTTGTTATGAGGTTTGAAATGAAATGCATTTTAATCTTTTAGGTAAAAAAAAAAAAAGTGTATATGTTGAACAGAAGAGTATTTGATGTAGTGTGGTACTAAGAAGGGCAGTTCCTACAGTTACCTTTTATTTTCTTTCCCTTCTCTAATATCTGCAGTGATACAGATATCTTTGGTCTGTTATTTTTTCCAAAGTGAAGTTGTTACATTAATTTAGCTCTGCTGCTCTAATTGAAAAAGAAAGGCTTTGATCCAGCAAATCACTTAAAATGAGTGGATAATTCTAGTATATAGGTAGTAATTTCATTAACACGACTGCTCTGATGCTCACAGTTGTACAGTTTCTCAAGTACTTTCATAGAGCAAGGGTCTAATCACAAAAATATTGCATTTGTTTTCCAAACAATTCCAAGTAGTAATAATTTGAACCTAAGAGTAAATAGCTTGGCTTACTTTTTTCACATTTTGTTTTATTAAATTCTACTTGGAACAAGTTACAGGGCTGATTTTCAAATACAGGTATCTAACCTTTGTGCTGGCTCAGAAACCCTGCATCAGTATAGATATGTAAAGAATTAACCATCTGATTGGGAATTTGCATACTCAGTTTTTTAGAGGTGTTTCTATTGTGCACAAGTCTAAAAATCTACACCTGGATCAGCAAGCACAGTTCTTAAGTGGATACCTTGACCAAATGTTTGCATTATAAAACAATTAAATGCAGGCAAACAGAGCATCATTAAACCTATTGGCAATATTTGTGAAACTGAAAGGCTATAGTTACTTGAGACTGCTTCATTTTCAATGCTAGCTCCCACAGTGTACTGATGACCAACATATACATTGCATTAGCACAGAGTAAAGAAATAATAAAATCCCTTGTGCTGTATCTCTTATGCTGCTGCTTATAGGTGTTTAATTTTGGAATTGCTTTTCTATGAATCATGAGACTCGACCATATGGCATGGATGTTAAAAAATTGATAAGTAGTTGTTTCATTGCTTAATTTCTTTCTTGCTCCTCCTGAATATTCAATGTCTGAAAATCAAAGGTTACTTTTGAAAATTCTGCCTTGCCAGCTGTTTATCAGGGGATTCTCTGCTGCACCATTTTATGAATGTGTGAAAATATATGTAAATTGGTCAAAGCAG